GTTGTTCGAACATAACAAGGGGACACTGTGTGGTTTAAACTCAAGAAGGGAGTGTGTCAGGTTGTATCCTTTCACCATACTCATGCTGAGCAAATAATCTGAGAAGCTGGACTATATGAAGAAGAACAAGACGTCAGGATTGAAGGAAGGCTCATTAACAACCTGCGATATGCAGACGACACAACTTTGCTTTCTGAAGGTGAGGATGACTTGAAACACTTACTAATGAAGATTGAAGACTGCAGTGTGCAGTATGGATTATATCTCAATATAAAGAAGACAAAAATTCTCACAACAGGACCAATAAGTGGCATCATGATAAATGGAGAAAAGACTGAAGTTGTCAAAGACTTCATATTACTTGGTTCTATAATCAATACCAGTGGAAGCAGCAGTCAAGATCATATAGCATTGGACAAGTCTGCTGCAAAGGACCTCTTCCACTGCTGAAGAGCAAAGATGTTTCCTTTTAGACCAAGGTACACTTGACACAAGCTATGGTATTTTCAGTTGCCTCATATGTATGTGAGAGCTAGACAATGAAAAAGGAAGAACAAAGAAGAGTTGATGCTTTTGAGTTGTGGTGTTGGTGAAGAATGCTGAAAGTACCGTGGACTGCTAAAAGAACTAACAAATCTGTCCTGGAAGAAGTATAGCCGGAATGCTCCTTGGAAGTGAGAATGGTCAAACTTGGTCTTACCTACTTTGGTCATGTTGTCAGAAGGGACCATTCCCTGGAGAAGGATATCATGCTTAGCAAAGTGGAGCGACAATGAAAAAGGGGAAGGCCCTCAAGGAGATGGATTGACACAGTGGCTGCAACAATAGGCTCAGGTATAAAAAGGATCATGGGGCCAGCACAGGACCGGGGAGTGTTTCGTTCTGCTGTACATGAGGTCACTATGAGTCGGAGACGACTCGACACACCTAACAACAACAACAACAAAAGACCACCAGAAGCAGTTTCCTTTCATCTGCCAAGGCCAGCAATATACCTTTACTGCACTACCTCAACTTTCCAGTCCTATGTCATAATTTAGTCTGCACGGACCTTGCTCACCTTTCCCTTCCACAAGACATCACAGTGATCCATTACAGTGATAGCTTCATACTGACTGAACCTACTAAGCAGAAAGTAGCAACTACTATAGATTTACTGGTAAGGAGTTGCATGCCAGAAGGTGGGAAATAATCTGAAAAAATTCAGAGCCTTCCACTTCAGTGAAATTTCTAGGGGTCCAGTGATATGAGGAGCCATGGTGGTACGCTGTTCATGTACTTGGCTGCTAACCAAAGAGTAGCTCAAACTCACCAGCCACTCCGCAGGAGGAAAAACCTGTCAATCTGCCTCTATAAAGATTGTAGCCTAGGAAACCCTGGGACAAACTACTCTGTCTTATGTGGTTGCTATGACTTGATTATGAGTTGGAATTGACTCAACAGCACACAGCAACAAAGTGATATGAAGCATGTCCCTATTTCTACTGTATTACCTTTTTTTTCCCCTCCTAATCTGTACCTAGGAGCTGTAGTGGCATAGTGCCTAAGGCACTTGACTGCTAACCAGAAGGCTGGCGGTTCAAACCCACCAGCTACTCCTCGGAAGGAAGGTTGGGCAATCTACTTCCATAGTGATACCTCCTGGGAAACCCAAGGAGGGGTTGCTATGAGTCGGGCCTGACTCGACAGCACATAACAACAACAATCTGTACCTGTGGTCTCATGGGGAGTTCCTACTCAGTTCTTCAGTTGACTGAAAAAAGAGAGAAAACTTGGGCCTAGTTTACACAGGTCCTCTCTGAAATGCAGGCACCACTAAGAAGGGGACTGGTGCAGCATAACAACCTCTTTCTGGGATTTATCTAAAGGGCAGTGGTGAAGGGAAATCCTCGTAGTGGGCAGAACTTCAAGCAGTGCACTGAGTGGTTTATTTGCTTGGAAAGACAAATGGCCAGATGTCTAGTTGTATACCATTTCATGGAATGTGGCCAATGGTTTGGCTGGATGGTCAGGGACTTAAAAGGAATATGATTGGAAATTGGTAACAAGGAGGTTGGAAATGGAGGTGTGTGGATAGTCCTCTCTGAATGTGCTGAAAACCTTATATTTGTGTCTCATGTAAATGCTTACCAAAATGTGACCTTAGCAGAGGAGGGTCTTAATAATCAAGTGGATAGGATGACCTATTCTATGACTGCCAGTAAGCCTTTGTCCCCAGCCACTCTAGTCATTTCCCAAAGTGACCATGGTGGCAGTGATGGAGGTTATGTATGGGCTCAGCAACATGGACTTCCAATTAATGAAGGACAACTTGTTAGAGACCAACACGAAGTCCTTGATATGGCACCATTACCCAGGGTGATCAGCCAACCACCTGGTGGCAGGTCGATCACATGATCACATTGGACTACTTCCATCATGGAAAGGGCAGCATTTTGTTCTTTTGAGAATAGACACTTACTCTCAACATGGATTTCCATTCTTTGCATGCAGTGCTTCTGTGGACTTAACAGGATGCCTTATCTACTGTCATGGTATCCCATACAGCATCATCTTGGATCACGGGACTCACTTTACAGCACAATAAACTGCAGCAGTGAGCCCATGCTCATGAAATTCTCTTACCATGTTCCTCATCATCCTGAAGCAGCTGACTTGATAGAACAGTAGAAAGGCCTTTTGAAGCCTCTTATGGCACTAGCTCACAGGTCTGGGACAATGTTCTCCAGGATATTGTATATGTTCCAAACCAGTGTCTAATATATATATAGCCAGAATTCACAAGTCTGAAAATTAAGGGGTAAAAATGAGAGTGGCACCACTCACTATTATCCCTAGTGATCTACTTACAAACTTTTTGCATCCTGTCCCTACAATCTTATGCTTTGCTGGTTTGAAGGTCATAGTTCCAAAGGGAGGAATGCTTCCACTAGAAGATACAACAGTAATTCCACTGAACTGTAAATTGGGAATGCCACCTAGCCACTTTGGGCTCCTCATGCCTCTGAATCAACAGGCAAAGAGTTGGTGTTGTTGATCTTAATTACCAAGCAGAAGTTGGATTATTATTATGAAAGTAAGAAAGAGTATGGTTGGAATACAGAAGATCCCTTAGGGTACCTCTTAGTACTACCATGTGCTATGATTAAAGTCAATGGAAAACTACTACAACCCAATTCAGGCAGGGCTAGGTTTGGGCCACTCAACCAAGCAAAGAACTATGACCAACTGAGGTGCTTGCTGAGAACAAAGGGAATACGGGATGGGTAGTAGGGGGCCTGATGGCACAGTGGTTACGTACTCTCCTACTAACTGAAAGGTTTGTGGTTTGAACCCACCAGCTGCTCTGTGGAAAAAAGATAAGTCTTCCTGCTTCCATAAAGATTTTGGCCTAAGAAATCCTATCGGGCAGTTCTACCCTGTCCTATGGCATCTCTGTTGTTGTTGTTGTTCTGTGCCATCAAGTCAGACCCGACTCATAGCATCCCCTCCTTGGGTTTCCAAGGCAGTATCACTACAGAAGTAGATTGCCCCATCTTCCCTCCGAGGAGTGGCTGGTGGGTTTGAACTGCCAGCCTTCTGGTTAGCAGTCAAGTGCCTTAGGCACTATGCTACCAGAGCTCATAGCATCTCTCTGAGTCATAATTAACTAGATGACTCAAAACAGTAACAACACAACCACGTGAGCAGTTGCAGAAATGAGTGAAATTATTTTGAACATTTATTCCTTTCTTAAAATAAATTGTATGTGTGTGCATGTGCACCGTCTTTTGAGGAAAGGGCTAGTATATTTTGGGTTGTATACAGTATAAACCAAACCAAACTCATTGCCGTCAAGTCAATCCCAACTCACAGTGATCCCTCCTTGGGTTTCAAGGTGGTATCTCTAAAGAAGTATATCACCCAATCTTCCTTCCAAGGAGTGGCTGGTGGGTTTGAACTGCCAGCTTTCTGGTTAGCAGTCAAATCATATTAGGCAGAAGTATGACTTTCAGTATACCATGGTATACTATGCTCTCGTGGCATAGTACCTAAGGCATTTGACTGCTAACCAGAAAGAAGGTTGGCGGTTCAAACCCACTAGCCACTTTGCAGAAGGAAGACTGGGCAGTCTACTTTCATAAAGATTTACTGCCTTGGAAACCCAAAGGGGGTAGAGTCGGAATTGACTCAATGGCAGTGAGTTTTTTTAGTATTTTAGAGAAGGAGTATGGTTCAAGGAGATAAATGGGTGCCAAGTTTACAAGGGATGGACTGTGATTATTAATTTTGTGTCAGCTTGGCTAGGCTATGATGCCCAATTGTTTAGTCAAACACTAGTCAAGATGTTGCTATGCAGGTATTTACAGCTGAGTCAGATCCGACTCCACGGCAGTGCTTTTGGTTTGGTTTGGTTAAGTAAAGCAGATTACCTCCATAATGTGAGTGGACGTCATCCAATCCATTGAAGGCCTTAAGAGCTAAACTTAAAGTTTTCCAAGGGAGAAACCACAAAACCATAAATAGACATCCTGCCAGACATTTTAACCTGTTGTCTGAAGTATGGCTTTTAGATAGACTGCCAGAGTTTCCAGCTGTTACCTGATTTATGGATTTTGGACTTATCAACCCCACAATCTCATGAGCCAATTCTTTACAGTAAATAAATCACAATCTCTCTCTCTCATTGGTTGTGTTTCTCTGGAGAACTCGAAGACAAAGGTGGAGAAGAATACATAGCTTTGTGTATTTTTAAGGCCACAAACAATGATGCTTTCTCTCAAATTTGCTGTTGGGTGAAAATTCAGTTTATCAGAAAGCTAATAGGATGTTTAAAATAAGCAAGGCACATTCCTCCACTACCAACACTTATTTGGGTAAAAGCACTGAAAAGTCTTTACAATCTTGCCAAGGACCTTTCCATTTATTTACTCTGTACTACCTACTGTCAAACCACAGTCCCTGACTGGTATAATTCATATGACTACTTCACACTTATGTTCTCATTCCTTTTCCCCTAGATGCCTGTGGTGCTCCACTAAGATATGAAACTATGAGGCTCAAGGATACCTCTACTAAAGACAGTTATGCTACTAACGAGACAGTAGAATACATCTGTCGTGTAGGATACAGACGAAACTTCATGTCCTCCATGACTGCTGTTTGTAATGCTAATAATTCATGGACACCTCTCCAAGAAGTTTGTATAAGTAAGTAAACAAAGCTATTTTTGTTTGCTTTGCTTTCTCTAGAGTTTCTCACATTTTAGGCTACATATTCCACTATTGCAATGATGATTTTCTCATGAAACTAGGTTTTAGAAAGCTATGTATTTTGTCAGATTTTGAGAAATATACAGGGAATCATTTTCTTGGCAGTGGGTTGCCTGAGTAAATGTGAATCTTAAGCTCGCCTTTGTAATAGTTAAATCAAGAAAATGCTATTCCTATTAATTTAAAATAACAATGTAAAATTTTAAGTTTTGACTCATATGTTTTGAAATGGGTATAGAAAAACAAATTTCAAAATTATTTTCTTTTAGAAAAACTATGTAGCAGTCCAGGAGATCCCCTAAATGGTTATGTAACCATGACAAATGGAACACTGGAGTTTGGCTCACAGGTTGACTTTACTTGTGAAGATGGGTAAGTTCCTCCTTAGAGGAAATGAGGCACATGCTCTCATCCCATTTTTGTTTTTCTTCCCTTCTTAGGCATTCATATAAACTTGATTCATTTTGCTGTTTTGTTTTGTGAAAAGTTGTACTTACACTCAAACAACTGTTGGAATTTTCAGAGACTGCAAAGATTTGTAATAAATAGAAAGAAATTTGAATTGAAGGACAGTAAAATTATATACACCAAACCAAAGCAAACTCCCTGCCATTGAGTCTGATCTGACTCATAACGACCCCTCCTTGGGTTTCCGAGGCAGTATCACTACAGAAGTAGATTGCCAACCTTCCCTCCGAGGAGTGGCTGATAGGTTTGAACCACCAGCCTTCTGGTTAATAGTCAGATGCCTTAGGCACTATGCCACCAGAATTCCTATAATAAGCCTATTGTAATCATTGAAAGTATAGTGATCATTGGTTTCTTTATGCTTGACAACCAAGAGTATGCTGTTTAAAAACACCACCTCTTAGAGTTGAAGTAGGGCTTACAGGTGGAACTGCCATCTAAAGATATTCTTATATACAGAATAGAACTCTGTGTATCTTCTATACTCAGTGTTACTAGACCAAAACTGACCTGGTTAGCTTGACCCTCATTTTGATCGAGATCTCTCAGTTGGAAAACCTTATCTTTGAGACTGCTGTAAAGGAGTGAAGCTTCTCAAAGAGAGGCACTGAATACTCCACGATAACCTTTGTTCTAGAGGGCTCTTTTAATAAGATATATTGATAACTTGGCATTTACGAAAAAATATTAGGCAGTAACTATGTTCTAGTATAACATAGAAACAATGAGTGAGCCTTAGGGGGAAATTCAGCTGTGACAGCATAGTGGCATGCTCCCTGACTATTTTCACTCAATGAAATGAAAATATTGAAGAACTAGGCAAAAGTTACCAAGAAAGAACCTACTGGATACTTTGAGCAATAGTAAAAAGTTTAAGAAATAGAACTTTCTCAAGGAAATTGTAACCTTATTGAGAAATACAATATACACTGGAAGTTTTCAAAGCAAAATAGTAAATGAGAAATGCCCAATAACTAGAATTATTTATGATAATTAGACTGAGAATCCAGAAGGAGGAAAGATTAGGGTGAATTATCAGGGAAGATTTCAAAAAGTAGAGGTGTTCCTGAGCTATGTAAATCTAGAAAGATATTGTGATCTAAAGAATATCAATCCAGCATTCATTTAATTCTGAGAGAACAACCCTGTGAGATACGTGTTGTTAGTCCCTTTTTATAGATGAGGTAACTGAAAAAGAGAAATATTAAGTGACTAATAATTAGTAAGTTGTGGATCTAGTACTCAAATGCAGGCAGTCCAATCCTAGAGACTGATCTTACTGAGATCCATGTTCTTCCTGAGGAGAATGGAATGAGCAAAGGCAAAGAAATGAATGTGTAATATGATTGCAGAAGACAGCAAATAAGCCAGACTAACAGGACAGATTTATGGAGACACCTTTGCCCTTGGCTAGAGTGTGTTCAAATGAAGATACTGTTTATTGGATTAAATTGTAGATGTAGTTAGCACTCTCACTATATGTCATTTATGAAACTTCTCCCTGAAATTGCTGTAGTGTAGAAAAACACCATCTAAAAGTTCCCTGCCTTGATATGTGCATCTTGTTAACTACTAAAGAAAACAGTAAACTTTTCTTTTCTCATTTAGTTATCACTTAATTGGTAGAAAAACTCTGTATTGTGAGGTTATTGGAGACTCAGTTGGTTGGAGTGATAATCCCCCAATATGTGACAGTAAGTACATTCTGTTTTTAAAATTTAGACTAGCAGTTCGCATGCTTTTTGGCCATGGGACCCCTTTACACTTTTAAATTAAGGAGGACCCTACAGAGCTTTTCTTTATTATATCTATTGATATTTATCATACTGGAACTGAGAAGTTTTTTAAATTATTATTTATTCTGTGTGTGTGTGTGTGTGTGTGTGTTGCAGTTCTTTTTTTTTTTTACTTTTTATTGTGATTTGGTTGAAAGTTTACATATTTATTTATAGTGGCACTGTTTTACAGTTTTGCAGATCTCTTCAATATCTGGCTTAAAGGAAGATATCTGGATTCTCTTGCTTCTACATTCTGTCTGTTGCAATATTCACATAATTAGTAGCCTCTGGAAATTTTCACTATACACTCAGGTCATAAGAATGAGATTGAAAAAAGGCAGTCATTTCTTAGTATTACTGTGAACCACCAGTTTAGAGAATGGATATATTTATAAATTGTAAGACACTTCCCAACTGGAATTCAATTTTATTTTCACTCACAAGCTCAAATTCTCCTTCAATTGTCAGAAGCTCTTTAAGATTACTAGAGCAAAACTTAGCATGGCCTTGCAGGTAAATATAGGTGTCATACATCTTAAGAAATTAGTTTTATTCTGAAAGCTAAGTTAAGGTTTTTAATATGGGATAATGCATTTTCTCATGCCAGATGTATTGGTGGATTCACAAATAGCTAGCTTATAGAAACCATATGTTGATGGATTTATTGAAGGTAGTTCATAAAACTTGACTAATTAATGATGTCTTAACTTGTGTCTTTCATTTGTGTGTATATATATGAATAATTTCTTCTTTTCTTCCCTTTTTAAGGGGTTAAGTGTGTACCACCTCCAAACATAGAAAATGGAATATACAGAACTAGTGGAAAGGATGTCTATGAATATAATGAAGTAGTAAATTATGAATGTAATTCTCTAAGTGGACCAGATCAATACTCACTTATTGGAAACAAAGTTCTTTACTGCACTGGCAATGGAGAATGGAGTAGTAAGCCTCCTGTGTGTAAAGGTAATAATCTTTACATTCATATCCTTCTTCATTTGTAAATACTCTGAAAACATTTTGTAAATAATTTTACTTACATTAGAAAAAACAGTCAAATTATGTGCTATTTCCTCCTGTAAAATGAGTTTCTAATTTAATATAATATAGGTCAAGTAGAGTTGATAATAGTTTTAGTTGAAGAAAACTGCCACCCCCAATATTATTGGCATTTGAGTTTATACATTGTGAACTACCATGTATATGCATGGATTAGGATTTTCTAACACATACTGGCTTAAAAATGAAAACATTTTATCTTGTATTACAAGATGTCTGTGAGTTCTGATTATGGGTAGCGGTTGTAGTACCTTGTAACAGACTAACCTTTTCACTGAAAAGAGTGATAAGCTTTGGACAAAATAAATATTTAAGGCACTAGAGAATGATCAAAAGCCTGGAGGCCTTTGACCTTGAAAGAAGGAAACTAACTACTGAACAATAGCAAATATATACTCTTCAGGTACATATGGAATTTGCTCCAAGAAAGGCTATATTCTAGGCCATAGTACAATTTTCAGCAAATTTCAAAAAATTACACTCATTCAAAGTATATTCTCTGATCACAATGGAATGAAAGTAAAAATAAGTAACAGATTTTTAGAAAATTCTCAAATATTTAGAAATTATGCAGTATACTTCTAAATAACCCATAAGTCAGAGAAGACATCAGAAGAGAAATTAGAATATATTTTGAATTTAATAAAAATGAAAACACACAGCATATCAAAATTTATGTGATACAGTTAAAGTATTGCTTACTGAGATATTTATAGTATGAAATGCTCATATTAGAAAAAAAGAAAAGTTTCAAATGAATTATCTAAATTTCGACCTTAATAAACCTAAACCAAAAATAAGCAGATGGAAGAAAATAACAAAGGTAGAACAGAAACCAGTGAAATTGAAAAGAGAGAAGAATAGAAAAAATTAATGAGCCAAAAGTTGGTTCTTGCAAGTCAATGAAATGAATAAACTTATAGCCAGACTGCAAAGAAGAAAACCAAGACACAAATTGCCAATATCAGGAATGAAGAAGAGGATATCTTTACATATCCTGCAGGCAATGAGAGAATAATAAGGGAATGTTATGAATACTTTAATGCATATAAGTTCAGCAACTTAGATGAAACTGAGAAATTTCTTGAAAGACACTAAATACCAAAATTCACTCAAAGATATAGGTAACTTGAATAGGCCTATATGCATTAAAGAAATAGAATTTGTACTTTTAAAACTTTATCCCATTGAGAACACCTGATCCAGATAATACCACTGGGGGATTCTGCTAAATATTTAAGGAATAAATAATAGCAATTCTGTGCAAACTCTTCAAGAAAATACTAGAGGAGAGAACACAACTCATTTGTGAAGATAGTATTACCCAAAACCAGATAAAGACAATACAAGAAAATTACAGACAATATTCTTGATGAACTAGAGCCAGCAATCCTCGACAAAATATTAGAAATAAAACCTACCAGTCACTAGTTGCCATTGAGTTGACCCCAACTTATGGTGGCCTCGTGTGTCAGAGTAGAACTGTGCTCCACAGAGTTTTCAATGGCTGAGTTTTCGCAAGTAAATCACTAGGCCTTTCTTCTGAGGCACTTGTAGGTGGTCTCAAGCCTTCAGCCTTTCAGTATTTCAACTGAGCATGTGAACCATGTATACCATTCAGGGACTCCCTAAACCAAATTTAGTTGTATATAAAAAGAAGAATATATCATGAGCAATTAGGATTTATCCCATGAATGTAAGGTTGATTTAACAATTAATTAAAATTAATTCAGTGTAATTTATAATATCAAGAGACTGTAAAGAAAAGACCATCTTAATAGATGCAAATAAATCATTTGACAGAACTCATCATCTTTTCATGATAAAACATTTCAGTAGACTAGGAATAGAAGGGAACTAACTGCCTCAACCTGATAGAAGGCATCTGCAAAATTCTCACAGATAACATTATACTTAATGGTAAAAGAATAATTATTTTTTCTAAGGCAGGAACAAGGCAGAGATGTCCAGTCTTACCATTCCTATTCAGCATTGGACTGGAGGTCCTAGCCAGTGCAATAAAGCAACAGAAAGAAATAAAATGTGTACACATTGGAAAGTAATAGAGTAATAGAGGCAAAGGAAGAAAAAACAGTCTCTATTCATTTTTGACCTGATTATTTGTGTAGAAAATCCCAGACCCCAAAATCTTTATCATGGTTGCAGGATACAAGATCAGTATACATAAATCAATTGTCTGTTTATTTACTGGCCTTGAACCATTAGAAATGGAAAAATTTTAAGTACTTTGTTTAAGCCTCAAAACACATGACATATGCACAAGATTTGAATGATAAAACTACTAAATACTAATTTAAAAAAATAAAATAAAATAGTTTAATAAATGGTAGGATATACAGTGTTCATAGAATGGAAGACTCGGTATTTAGATGTTATTTCTTCCAGAATTGATCCCAATCAAAATCCCCCAAAACTTTTTGTACAAGTTGACAAACTGATTCTAAGATTTATATGGAAAGGCAAAAGAACTAGAATAGCCAAAACCATTTTGAAAGAAGTTGGAGAAGATGCTAGGGGTACGGTGAAAGTTTTTTTGTTTTTTTTTTTAAATCTGTTTTTCTATTATGTATTTAAAAGATACAACCTAAAAAAGACATCTGGTCATCCTGGCCAAGGGAGCAGAGGAGATAGAGATGGTCATCCCTGTGGATATCAGGAGACAAGCCAGAATTAAGGTCACCGTTACAAGTCTGACTAGAAAAGACCCAGTGCAGTGTAGCCAAGACATTGGCATTTGTCCTGATGCCAGTCTTGAAGATGTAAAATAGAGGTAGTTCTGCCAGAAGATGATCTGGGTGCACAGAGGTTATCTGAGTCTGCTGCTGTGAAAGATACACTGAAGGAACAAGAGAGGAGGAAAAGGATTCGTTGTCAGTCATCTGTGCAAGTCGTACGAAATAGATTTTGGAAGCAAAGTTATAACATATCCACTTGCTAAAGACAAAATGATGAATGGAAATCATTATAACCCCTCAGGGAATTGTGTGGAAAAAGAAGGACTTTCCCTGACATGCGGCAGACCTGAAACCAGCTTTGAGTTTGCTCTTGCTGTTGTTGAGGCTCTGAGTGGCAAGCAGGTAGCTGCTCAGGTAAAGGGCCCACTGGTTCTTAAAGATTACAGCAGAAGAGTGTAATGATGACCTAGAGAAACAGGTCATAGGTGATCTAGTCTCACTGTGTTCACTTTAGCGAGAAATGGCTGCTTCCTGCACAGGGAAGACGACAGTGCTGTCTTTGTGAATGTAGCTGTGAAGTAACAACTACACAGATTTATTTCTTAGCCTACAAACTCCATGTCCATACGCTTCAGAAACTTGTCTGCAGAATAGAGATGACATTTAGCCAAAAAAAAAAAAAATGTTGGAGGATTCATATTACCTGAATTCAAGACTTACTGTAAAGTAGATGATCAAGGCAGTATGGTGAAAGAATAGACATATAGATCAGTGGAACAAACTACAGAGTCCAGAGATAGACTCATGCATATATGTTCATTTGATTTGCAACACAGCTGTATAACCAATTCAGTGTGAAAAAGGGTATCACTTAACATTAGTAGTTTTCTTGCTTAGCAATCATCCTTGCCTCTATTACTCACAGTTACAGTCCTGGTCCTGAGACCACTACATCAGGTAGGAAAAAAGAAAGTTGAAAGTGATGTGGAGAAAAAAGAAAAACTATGTATGTTGAAGTGATATGGGGAAGAATTGTATAAGCATATCGGCATCCTCCCTCACCTCCTATTCCCCAGGTCTACTGGTAAAGCAGAAGAATCTATGTAGTGGGGATGCTGCCTTGGTCCTCTCATGCTGACTGTGAGCACATACTCATGAAGACATGTGAACCAGCCCTTCATACTTGTGACTCTCCCCCTACTCCCCTGTTTTAAACAGGCAATGTTTCAATTGCCTATTCCAGTTCTTTATCAAACATTACTCTGAGGATAAAAGTGTGTTCCTTGTGTAAAGAAATAGAATTCAACAGTACATACTGGTGCAGCGTCTTCTGTTCTGATTCTTTTATAGTGCTTTGAGCATTTGAATCTATCACTGGGTAAGCATAGTCTAGTCTTTAAGTAATTTTCTATTGTTAACAGGATTTATTTGTAGCCTCCAAGGGCTACTGGCATCAGTCTGAGTTGGTAGCTATGTGCAGGGCTTTCCCCCAGGGGAATCTGCCCTATGGTCATCTGTAGTCTCTTTCTCTCATACTGAACAGTTTTTTAAAAATTAGGTTTATAGTATATAACAGTTCTTATTGGCATCTTATGCCTCGGAGTACAAGAGAAATATGTCTAGATTCACTTCATTTCTGTATTGCTGCACCCTCATTTCCTTTCATCTCATGGATCCAGTTGTCTACTTCAAAGGAGAATACCAGGATATGTACTCACTGATTCCAATTAACTTCCAGTCCTGGAAGTGGATTCTTAGATAGGCATTGTCATGTCCTACTTTAACGCACCCCTCAAATTTTCATAAGGCAAGTGCCTCTTACTCTTATTAAAAAAAAAAAAAAAAAGTTAATCATCCACTCCACACAATTCTATGAACATGATCCATTAAAGAAAAAATTTAACAAATTGGACTTTTTCCAAACTAAAAGTTTCTGTTCTGCAAAAGACACTGTTAAGAAAATGAAAAGATGAGCCACAGAATGGGAGAAAATGTTTGCAAAACACATACCTGATAGTGGATTTGTGTCTCAAATATATTTAAAAAAAAAACTGTCAAAGCTAAATAAGGAAACAACTCCATTTAAAGGTGGGCAAAAGATTTGAGTAGACATTTCATTAAAGAAGATACATGGAGGGCAAATAAGTATATGAAAATATGCTCAATATTATTAATAATTACAGAAATTCAAATTAAAACTATAATGAGATACCACTAAACACCTATTAGAATGGCTGAAGTTAAAAAAAAAGGAAAAAGTTGATAATACCAGGTATTGGCAAGGATATAGCTCAATCAAAACCCATACATTGGTAGTGAGAATACAAAGTGTTACAACCACTTGGAACCCACTTTGGCAACTTCTTAAAACTCAAACATACACTTATGACACACTTAGCAACCCAGGTGATGTGTAAACACAGAAACCAATATGAAATTGTTCATAGCAATCTTAATAATAATCCTCCCAAACTAGAAGCAACCTAAATGTTCGACTGGTGAATGGATGACAACCTGTCATACAGCCATACAGTGGAAATAAACTACAGATTTATGCAACAACATGAATGAATCTCACATGCATTATGCTGAGTGAAATAAGCCATGCTCAGAAGTCTATGATTCCATTTATATGCCATTCTGAATAAAACAGTACTATAGAAATAGACAGGCGCTCTGGTAGCATAGTGGCTAAGACACTTGCCTGCTAACCAGACGGCTGGCGGTTCAAACCCACCAGCCACTCCTCGGAAGGAAGGTCGGGCAAGCTACTTCCGTAGTGATACTGCCTCAGAAACCCAAGGAGGGGTCACTATGAGTCGGGCCGACTTGATGGCACATAACAACAACAACAACACAGAAATAGAAAAACAATCTATGGTTGAGTGGTGGGGGTTAAGGTTGATTATAGTGGGCATGAGGGAATTTATTTGGGTGATGGAACTTTTCTATACCTTTTTGGTGGAGGTATTTACTTGATCATTTGTATTTGTCAAAAATCATACAGCTGTACACTTAAAAGGGTGAATTTTACTATATATATGTAAATTATATACTATAAACCTAATTTTAAAAAAAAATCATTAGATGCAGTTAGCAGCAGATTAACACAACAGAAGAAAAATCGTATCAGTGAACCTAAAGACAGGTCAATAGAAATCTGATATGATTTGAGGAGAAATTTTAAAAAGGGAAAGAGCTTTGTAGACCTATCAGGAGAGTATCAAACAGTTGAACATGCATGTAATTGGAGTTCTAGAAGGAGAGAGAATATAGAAAAGTATTTGAACAAATACTGGTCTAAAAATTTGATCCAAAACAACAAACCCACAAATCCAGGAAATACTGTGAACCTTAAGTAGTATAAACAGATTATTTACAAAAAAAAAAAAAAAATTTAAACTCACTGAACTAAACACACGGTAAAACTACTAGAAATAAAATGAAAAGAATGAAACAGCAAGTGAAAGGGAGAAAAACTTATCAAGGAGATGGTACAGAAGCAAGTAAGAATGATGGCTGATGTCTCATGAGAAACTGAAGACTACAAGACAATGGAATAGTATAAATCTGTTAAGGTTCTGAGAGAAAAAGAAAACTATTAACCTAGAATGTTATGTCAACGTACAATCTTGCAAAGCTGAAGGTGAAATAAAGCCATTTTCAGATCAACCAAAGCTATGAGAATTTTTCACTAGCAGATCTACACTACAAGAACTGCTACAGGAAATTCTTAGACTGAAGGGATATAATAACAGATGGAAGTTCAGATCCACAGGAAAGAAGGAAGAACACTCTTTTGGCTTAAGAGGCTATACATTATCTAGGCCTTTTCTGTTGCTCAGATTTGATTTCATAAGATGTTCTATTGCACTCATGTGCCCAGCCCAATGTTTCATTTTGTTTTGTTTTGTTTTGTTTCCAAATTCCCCCAAAATCCAGTAATAATGATCCTGAAATCAGCCTGGGTCATGACCAGCATTTTACTTTTTACAAAATAGAATACAATGGGAGATACCAGAGTACAGTGGTATGAAGGCAAAATACTGAATTTAAACTTTTATTTCGGGCTTGTGTACATGTATAGTGGTTGGCAATTAAAACAGGCTTCATACTCTAGGTTGCAGTCAAAAGCTTTGGAAAACACTACGCTAACTCCACTGGCCTTTCTATTCCTTGAACATCCCAATTTGTGTATGTTGTTTCTTCTTGAGAACTTCATTTTTGCATATCTTTGCATGGCTAGCATCTTCTCAACTTTTAAATTTGAACCCAACTATTATCTTTTTCATTCTCTTGTACAGGGGCCGACTCGACAGCACATACCAACAACAAATAACAAATTATCTTTTTCATTCTCTTGTACAGAGTTCCTAGGAGTCAGAACCGACTTAATGGCCCTAACGATAACAACAACATTATCTTCAGAAAAGTCTTTCCTACCATTTTAAAACAGTAAAGGCTTTTATTAGGTTTAGCATAACCTTAAAAACAACAACAACAAACCTAGAGCTAAACAATATCAAGAGTTTCTTTTGAAGTTAATCTGAGTATTATTTTATAGGCCTTTCTCAAAACATTTTTTGGGAAAAAAAGATTAAGAAATCAAATAAACTATAATGACAATTTGTTTTGAGGGAAAGGGAGAGTTCTTAGATCTCACTATATCTGCATACCTGGAATTAAAATGCTTTATACTTTTCATTTTAAATATATAAAGTCATTATTTTCTAACATCTTGCTTTCCATTCCTTGTTATCTTTGTTCCCCCAGGAAATTACTACTTTACACTACTTTTTCTGGTCCACTAATTCTGAGCTTTCTTCACTTTTCAGTGGTCAAATGTGATTATCCAGTAATCAGAAATGGAGACCGAGTAGTGGGACTTGGATCACGATTTACCTACAAATCACAGGTCGTATTTCAGTGCCATCAGGGTTATGTCATGAAGGGAAGCAACACCATTATCTGTGAAGAAAATAGTACATGGGTTCCTCCAGTTCCGACTTGTATTAAAGGTACAAATTTTTTTTTCCCCCTTCTTGTTCCTTTTTTAGCTTTATTTCTTTGACTTTAAGTATCAGTGAACAGAATAATTGAAAAAAAACAGGTATTTAAGTCTGTCTTATATTCATTTCCATTCCAGGCATATGACATAAAATTCGCATAGAATTCTACTTTGTGATTTTGTGTTCTCATAGGGGTATGTTATAAACGTCACACTGGTATATAAATTTATTTTGTTAGATATTTTTATTTATAAAAAGTGAGAGCAGCAAATTTTCAGAGTAAATTGAAGCATGAAAATGTTTATCTAAATTAGTGAAGAATGAAAGCCATAATTCATAAAGTGAAATGAGAGAAATTCCCTCCAAGTGTTTGACCGAGTCTCTATTATTTTGTTTTCCAGAGCTGCCTCCTCCCACTACACAACCTCCAATTTTGAGTCATTCAGGTTTAGTAATCTCCTGATTATATATTTCAAAAATCCTTGAAAGTTTTGGTGAAAATGCCAGCAATAACTCCCAAGAGTTTGATCCAATCTATTTATTATTTTGTTTTGCAGTGTCGACTACTCCACTGTCGACTCTTCACAATACAACATCTCCATTTTTGAGTCCTGCAGGTTTAGTAACTTCCTGCTCTATTTCTCAAAAATCCTTTAAATTCCTGGTGATTTCTATTCCTTAATCATTTTTGGTAATGAAAGGAGGAAGATAATTCGTTACAGCCAATTTTTTAGTTATATGTAATGATTCTAAATTATTTGCCATAGTCTTTGAATATGAACAGATATGTGGAGTTAGGTAAGTTAGGTAAGCTTTAAATGTGTTTTCTCACTGTGTGATTTCATTGTGTGCTGTCTAGTTGATTCTGACTCATAGTGACCATCTAGGACAGAGTAGGACTGCTCCACAGAGTTTCCTAGGCTGTAACCTTTACAGAGGATCCCTCGTGGTACATTGGTTAAGCACTCAGCTGCTAACCAAATGGTTAGCGGTTCAAACCCACCAACAACTCTGCAGGAAAATATGAGGCATTCTGCTTCTGTAAAGATTACAACCTTGGAAGTCCTATAGGGCAGTTCTACTCTGCCCTATAGGGTCACTATGAATTGGAATTGTCTTGATGGCAATGGGTAATCTTTACAGGATCACATCACCTTACTACAGAGCATAGCAGAACATATAGGAAGCTCTTAAAATTAGCCAATATGATTTATATCACCATTTGAACTAGTATCAGTGAAAAGGAATGTCCATGATTATTTTTTACTATGTGTATTATAGGTGTCATCAACTTTGGTATTTTAGTTACTCTTTTTAAAAGTAATCTGTTGGTACCTTTGCTGGGTATCTCCCAGGTCCATGCCTTTGTTCCCTGTAATACAATCAATTTAATTCCTTTTAATTGGAACATTTAAATTAGGAAAGTTTTAATGTCTCCAGAACAATTCATATATTTCTTCTTCCCATCTTCCTGCCCTCAAACAATTATTTCTTTTCTCATTACTGAGTAGTTTTCTTTGGCAACAGAAACTAAATTTCATAGCAACCAAAAAAGCAGGGAAAGCCTTTAATGGAGTATTTCTTGTAGGCAGTACTGATTAGCTAGTCCATTTAAGACTCAACGGATTATTTTGATTTCATATCAAATAGAAGGGCAGAAGGGCTTATAATCTATCTATGCTGCTATCTCTGGCTTCATCTTGGTTGCAGCAGATGCAAGAGACAACGGGAATAGTAGAAAGGTCATTAGTTGGGGCAGATCCTGTTCAGGTCCACATATGCTTTCGCTTAGTTAAGTAATGTCATTTCTATATGCTTTAGTTTCCCTTTGATGTAATGAGGTTGTTGAACTCAAACACAGGTCAATTACTGGCCAGCCTGATTTATTTATGTATTTCCCATCTCCCTAATATTTAAATTAGTTACTTAAAGGAAGGAGGGGAATTATGCACATTAACATGGTACTTTAGAAACCAAACCAGGCTAAAATTGAGGAATAGGCAGACAAGCGACATAGACCCTCTTCAACAAAGAAAAAAAAACAATTGACAGAGATACAGGATAATCCTGGAGGCCCGAGCTTTGAAAGGAACTATACAGAAGTGGATTAGGCACCAACTAGTGGAAAAACCTGAATGAAAACAGTGAGTACAGAGATGGTTGGAGCTGTGGACTGTCAGCTATTTTGACGGGACCAAAAGCCTGAATATTTCCAAGTGGTATTGGGACCTAAGAATTGACCTAAAGATCAGCCCTGGTCACCAAGGGCTGCAGGGATGACTGCGCTGGTGGCCTATGACTAGGAAGGAAAACAACCTGAACTGTTGACTTTCCGCTGGCTGGAGGGCACAGACATTTTGATTGTTTAAACGTGGCAGCCATTTTGAATGTTTATAAGTGGTGGCCATTTTGGATATTTAAAGTGACTGAGGGTGAAACCATTTTGAATGTTTACAAGTGGTGGCCACTTTGGATTTTAAAGTGATAGCATTCTCATTCGGATTCTAGGGACCTAAGAATAGGCTCTGTTTGCCAGGGTTGTCAGGGACATATGAGAGGCTGACAACAAGAAAGGAGACAGGTGGTGAGTGTATAAGTGCTGCCAGCTAGTAGATAGAGGAGCATGGCACAGTACCCTGGTTGCATAGATAACATACAAAGAAAACAGAAACCATGGGCAAGTCACTCCAATATACAATCACCAAATAAGTATAAACACAAAAATGTCACAATGTCTCGAGGACAACAGAGCAAGGACAACAGAGCATCACAGTCCATACAAAGAAGCAAGATAAAGCAGGAGAAACAAGGGCCCTGGGGGGGTCCCCAGGAGAAACAAGGGACCCAGAGCCAAAACACATCCCTGAGGAAGACGCAGCATTGGAACTCCCTAATAAGGAATTCAAAAGAATTATATTTAGGTATCTTCAAAGGATTGAGAGACAGATCAAGGAAAACACAGACAAAACCCTAGAACTATTTCAGAAGAAAATACAAGAACAAAATGACAAAATAAATGAAAAATTAGAAATGATTCAAAATCTACAGATAGAAATCCAGAAGATTAATACTAAATTTTCAGAAATAGATAAGACATTGAATGGGCAAAGGAGCAGAATTGATG